ATAATATTCATTAGATGTCTCAGCCGAGCAGTGCCTCATCTCCTCTGCCTCCTCTGCTGCAGGATTTAAAAAAAACCCAAAAACTATTAAAACACCTACTAGAACCATATTTGAAACTTAAAATGACTCACTGTGCAATAAAGCATGCTTCCACGATTGCAGGGGGGGGGGGATAAAATCATTTTTCGAATTTGAACACTGCCCAGTGAAGTCACCTGCAACACTCACCTACTAAACGGCATCTGTTGGTTTCTGTCATCTTTCAGTGCAAATCCAATTTTCTGATAATGTTTTTCATCATTGCAATGTCACAGTCAGGTAGAAGGGGAAAAATTGAGTGAGGCGGTTATAGAGCCAAACGTGGTAACATGGTCATTGGTTTGATTGTCACAACCTACAGGAAAGTGTAATAGCTGTCAACAGATAAGTGAAAATGCTATCATCACAAGTGCAGTTTTATCATTGCTGTCAGAGCAGCAGTCTTTTGATTGATGGAGAGATGTTACACTGCAGCAAGCCCCGTGTCTTCAGTCAGATGTGTTTGGATCAAGGAGAGAAGAGCAAAAAGACAGTTAAATCCATTTTTACAAAAAGGCTCAGCAAACAGAAGAAAATAGTCTGCAGTGCATCAGCATGGAGTTTAATGCAGGCAGTAAAAAGAAAAGCCACTTTGAATCCAGATTTGTCCTTTTCAAACAGCAGTTGTGACCCGTTAGTCATTCATGACTACAGTTAACATACTGGGCTAGGAGAGCATCTCAAGGGGGGGAATCACAACACTCGACGATGTCCATGGTTTTTAGACTTCACGTAGGGATCGACTGCAAACTATTTTCATTCACGGATTAAAAGCAGGGTTTTTTTTGTTTGTTTTTTTTAAGATTATGTTTTCTCAATTAATTTTGAGCTTCTGAAAATGTGAGACTGTGCATAAAAAATGTTTGTAATTCCTAAAGATTTTGGCCTTAACTTACATTGAAGCTGAAAATCTGCACTTTGATCCAGTATTGATTGTTTGATTTAAAATCAAAGCTAAATTACAAAAACAAACAAACAAAAAAGCCTCTGTCCAAAAAACAAGAAATACCTACTATCTGATCTTATCTGATTGTAATAACTGGGCTCCAGTTTCTAAAACTTTTTCATTGATATGTAGTACTCTGCAATATCAGCTTGGTTTTGACTCCCTGAATATATATTGAAAAATGTGAATTCTTCTGAATCAGATTGATGCTTTTTGACAAATTTGTATACAAAGCGTGTCATGGTGCAAAAAACAACCGTGGCACAGAAATAGAATATATGGTATAAACTTTTACCGCATATAAATACACAGTGTAAACACATGGTGAGAATATTTTCTTTTGGCCAAGGATGGTAATAATTAATGCTGTCATTATTAGTCTGACTCCAATATTTATCACATCTAAGTACATTTCCCATAATGATTTGCTGTTCTTAAACCCAAACCTGCCTACAGCGCTTACTTTTTTGTTAGTCTGTAAGCAAGTAAGGATGTGTTTTTGACCTTTCTGAAGTATATAAATGCATGGATATGTTTAGACTTGTATCTGCCCTTTTACAGCTTGTTCTACAAATAAAAGCAAAAGCTCTCTTTCAGTCTCCCTCTGTATAGCGAGCACACTCTGTTTAATGGTCTTCTACCATAATGCAGTGCCGAACAGAAGGTCTTCTGGTTAGAAAGGGGCTTTTTAGGAGTAGAGACCTCATCACCTCCCCCCGAAAACAAATGGAGGCATGGTTGGACACTCCTACTCACCACATGCATTTCTGCAGTCCTCTGTTTCTTGTGCACACCCTCATTATGATGCATTGTACGGCCGCTCTTGTTCTCCCGTTTTAACTTTTCATCACCTTTTTCTGCATTCACACGGGTGCAGTGAAACACCCGTTTCTCGCTCCTCTATTCATCCAGAGCTGTAATTGTGTATGTGTGTGTTTTGAGGACAGGCCCCTCAGGGATGGTTTGTCTATGTGTTAATGGGATTTATAAATATATAAAAGGTTTTTACCTTTATATAGTATTACTGATTAATACTCTTACATGGCCTGTTGTACCTTTTTCATTTGATTTTAGTTTTTTTCATTAAATGGCCTGTTAACCCAAATATTGAGAACTTGAACAAAACTGGGTTGTTTGTGGTTTCTTCTTTTAATTAAGAATTTTTTGAGGAAAGACATTAGTTTTTCTTTGTGCTTTGGTAGCAATCTGTTGTGTTCAATCATATAAATTGTCCTTAATTTAACCTTGGTGGATGTTTTTATCTTGGACTATAATTTGTGACAATTTTTCAGTTTCCTTTTTACTTCTGCTGATTCACACATTGAAATTCGTAGCATTACTTTAATATATTTTTAGCATCTTAACGGGATACAAAATGTGAGAATGTTAGGTAAAATGATCACACACTACTTCATTGTTGATGTCCGGGCTCTGGAGAGGCCCATACATGACTGATAATGTTCTATCTTGTGTGTTTTTCTATCCAGGTTTGTTTTCACTGCGTTGGCAGTGTGTTTGGGATCTTTGTCATGCTGCAAAATTAAGCTTTTTTTTTTCCTGGTGGGTCAAAATCTGATGATACTTTTCTGTGTTGATAATTGGATCAATTTTAACAAGAAATGCAGCTCCAAACCACGACATGGCTTTCACCGTTATTTTTTACAGATGGATGTAGAGTTATTACCTGTCTCCTGACCTCCTCCGTAGACACTGATTATGATTTTGATTCATCATTCCATTCCCTTCCTAGAGAATGGCTGCTTGACAGCTGCCTGATGCATCTCCTGTATCATATATGTCATCAGGTCTTATACGATGCTGGATACATGTATATGACTTTTAGATATTGTTCATCTGCTGTAGATAATTCTTTAGCTCGTCTTTCCATTTTTCTCAGTATTTTCTAATAGCTCTTTAGGAATCATGTTGTTGGTGAAAAAATACCGTCTTAGGCTGTGTTATCTTTGTGTTTTTTTTTTCATAAGTTCAACCAAAGAAATGGGAACAAAGGAAGTGTTTTACTGGCAGGCTTGTAACAAAGTGCCTCAAGATAGAATTTTAGAAGTGATTTGTTGCTAAGTTGTCTGTGTGTAAACACGTCGCTTCATCCCTTGAGTTACTTGCCTTTTTTAAGCTTGAATGATTCAAATGTCTGCGTTAAGTAGTTTAACAACAAAGATTATTTCTCTGATCGAAAACGAGTGGAAAAAGTAGCCAGGGTACCAAGAAAAGGTTTGAAAGTTCTTCAGAAAGCCTGGAAAACTATTACCAAGATCACTTTAAAAAAATTATAACAAAGTCGGGCTCCCTGGAAGCAAAATACAAAGAAAAGAGGGTGGTGCAAGGTTTTTGCACAGTACTTTAGTGTTACCGGGTTTGCACGTATCTCCCAAGAAGAGCTTTTGGGTGGGAAAATTAAAAAAAAAAAAATTTAAGATGTGATTCTTAATTTGGGAGTTGCAATAATGAAAATTCAGCTTTAATTCTGCTACAATCAAAGTGTTGTTTTGCATGCAGAGGTACTGATTAACTGAGGTAGAGAAGGCTAATGATAAATTAAACAACGAAGTGCAGTGAAGAGAAAAAGGAAGGTGCCAGTAGGTTAATCAATTCCCCTGACACATTCTTTAGCTATGAGACATGAGTTTCAGTAATGAGGCACGGCTTGCATATCACCACTCTTGTTGTCTTGCACACCCACAGACACACACAGGTTCATGTTATTTTGGGGGAGAAGGATGAGCATGTATTTTTAAAGGGGATTCGCACACAAAACAACTGAAAAGCAGCCTCACCCACGTGTTTTCTGCTTGCATTTATTTGTCTGCGTTTTGGGGTGTTTTGACGTCAGTGCTATTTTACAAAGCACCGAAATGCTTCCTTGGCTAATCTGAAGTGTCACTTGGTGCCGTTTGGCATCACCACGTTACAGCGTATGCCCGGCTCTTATGACACCAACGCAATAATTGTGTAAAGGGTTTGTGTTTTGTCAGTTGTTAACTGTCCATGAAGCAGAAGCTCAGGATGGATCAGTGCAAACTGAAGTCGCAAACGTAATAAATTTTGATAGGTTTTTTGTACGGCGACTGGGTGAGGGATGTGCCGTGTTTAGAGGGATCACCACGTAACATCCAACACAGTGTTTTACGGTCCCACACTCAAAACCACAATGCACCACTCTGATCCCTGCCATCACATGCCACGTCCAAAATTTCAAAGAGAAGGGGGGTTAAAATCAACACAAGCTACACATGAACTCATATAACACACAGCCCGCGCACACCTTCCCTCTCTTCAATTATTGCTCAGTCGTTTCACTCTGTGTTTGTGCAGCTCTCTTATAATTCTGGATCACGCTTACTCTTGGCTCGGTGCAAAACTCAGCTTCGTACCCCCCCACCCCCACCCCCCACCCCCCCAGTACCGTTGTGTTGCTTTTCCACTTGCACCTTTCACTGGATGTGCTGTGCTTTTTCATTGGCTGTGTTGATGTTGAGCTTTGCTTCTTGTACTTGTCGTTCTGAACAGGACATCACACATGTACATGCAAGTCCATATTCATTTTTCACTCTCCTTTGGGGACACACATTCTAAAGTTTATATACAGATCCACAATTTCTTTTTGTACATGTACAATGACAATAAAGGGCTATTCTATTCTATTCTATTAACACCCATATTAATAATCTCCAAGCACCTCTGGAAACTGCTTCACTTGCACACACCTTAAAACTTTAGTTATCACACATCCTTTTTTTTAATCCATGCTGTATCGAGCACATTAAAGACACAATGTTAACACAAACACTCACTCAGACATGGTCCTGATCACTGTCTCCCTTGCTGCTATCACTAACCATTTGCTGTTGCACTGGTGCTTGCTTTTTTCTTTATTATTATTTTGCTGTTTTTCTTTTAATTAATTTTTTTCCCTTGTGTTCATTGTAATCATGACCTCTCGCTGTTTTAATTTCAGATTTGCATATCCACTTCCACTCCTTCCTCATTTGCATACAGCAAGAATGGCGAGCGGGCATCCCACAGACAAATTCAGTTTCATGTATCAACCAGACACGCACAAGAGGTACGGGGCACGCATGCACACACACTTACATGCGCGCGCACACACACACACACACGAAATTTCGTAGGCCTGTATTCACAATGAGCAGGTAAGTGGAAATGAAGAGCGTGCACTTGAGGTCTTCTACGGTGTGGAGAAGGATGCCTTATGGGTCATTATCTGGCACCTTCAGCCGGACCGTTTTCCCCAATCTGAATTGATTACTGGCCCCGCGTCTGAAAAACCCAGAAGGTAGCGCCTTGTTGGTGCAGTGGTGGGAAAATAAGGCAGGTTGCAGCATTGTACCAAAGCGGAAACCAAAGTGTTCTTTTTCAATTGATCCAAGCATTCTTGTGCCTTTGAGTCAGAACTTGTGCATTTTTCTTTTAAATCCAAGCAGTCTGTGTTTTTAAGTCCATACTTATATTGAGCCTGCTTTGAGGTTGGGGAGTCGCAGGGCTTGATTTTGTTGCATGCCAGCAAAATCCTTCAGCTGGATGCCCCTTTAAGAATCTGACTCTGGGATTATGCGTGTGGTGAGTGTGCTTGATAATGGTAACAATTTTCTTTCCAGTTTACATGGCTTATGTCTCTTTTCCCTCCATTTTCCCCTCCTTGTCTTTTCTTAACTCTCTTTCTTCTGTTTTCCACTTTCTGTTTCTTTCTCTTTCCTAGTAAGAACAGGTTATCTTCAGCTATGAATCCAGTCTACAGCCCTGTCCAGCCTGGAACTCCATATGGAAACCCCAAGAATATGGCCTTCACAGGTAAGATGTACACAGACGTACAGGTCTGTCGTCTTCAATACTACTGAATCCGAGGTTTAAGCCAGCTGAGATATGCCTAACAGAGTTCTGATAGGACAGAAATGCTAATATGACATTGTATTCAAGTTTGTGGAAAAAAAACATTGTTTCTATTAACATCCCTACCAGTGACTCCAGCAATCAATTATGCAGTACAGTAAAAAAATCTAATTATATGATCTCTTGTATATACACTTACTGGCCACTTTATAATAGAACTTGTTTAGCTGCTTTTTTTTTTTTTTTTACAATGACTACATGTCATTGTTAGGATAACCTGTTGAAGTTCAAACAAAGTATCACAACGGATGATTTAAGTAACTTTGAACATGGTGTGGTTGTTTGTGCAGTCTGAGTATTTCAGAAGCTGCTGATCTACTGGGATTTTCCCACACAACCATCTCTCACGTTTACAGAGAATAGACATTTGGCATTAACAAAACATGAACAGTGCCTCCACAGTCACTAAATCTCAGTCTTGTAGAGCATCTTTTGGGATGCGGTGGAACGGGATGGCATCATGGACGTGCAGCTGACAAAATTGCAGCAACTTTGTGATGCTGTCATATCCATATGGGTCAAAATCTGAATGTTTCGTTGTTGAATCTGCTACAAATGCAAAGGGAGCAAAGTGCACCTAATAAAGTGCCCAATGAAGCGAGTTTGCAAGAAGAGATAAAAGGAGAGAGACATAAATATAGGCCATTGTTAATCTTGGGCCTCAAAGGTTATAATAGTTATAGTACACTGAAATACTGAAGTGAAAGCTACTGATCTATATATATTTTTAAGATGGAACTTTTAACTCCTCTTGTGCCCATTTTTATTTTTGTGATAAAACCAATACATGATTGAATGCATTCAGTTAAAGGGGAAAATCCAACTTGTGGTTTTAAAGTTGGATCGTGGCATACATGTTTAACTGGAGTGTAGCAACATCTGTTGTGTTAATGTGTCATCTGATTCAGGACTCTTTAATTGGTGCTTATGATGAACTGGCAAGAAGCTGTTTCTTTAATATAACACTGAATTGTAGTGTAAATGCAGATATTTTTTCTTCAAAAAAGGTGAGAAATTAAAAAAAAAAAATCTTCATGATTTCTGTTTGTTTTTGGTTTTGGTTTTTTCCTGACCAGAAACACATCCTCCAAATCTGAAATAAAAACAATGACGATTGATGACTTACTATTTTCTGATTTTTTCCGGAACCAATCTGTAAATTTTTAAGTGCTCATTATGCCGCGCTTTAATTTTATGCATGCATGTGTCTGCTGTGTTGTTAAATCAAACGGTATTCTTTGCATTAGCATGAACGAAATAAACACAGGATGTTGTGTGATCGTGATTAACATCTCGACCGTCTTATAACTGCGTTTATTGGAACTGTTACATCCGACCGTATCTGAACCTACAGCAGCCAAAGCTCGATATAGCGGAGGCTCAAGGCTACAGAACAGATCTGCGAGACTGTCTGCCAATAATAGCAAAGAGTGAGCAGAGAACAGCACTTAGCTCGCTTACACTCCCTCTCTTCACTCTGTGCTGCTTTTTTCCCCCCCTTTTACTTCCATCGTCTTTGTCTCGCCCTGTCGAACCTGCACCTTTTTATAAGGAGAAGCTTTTTCACAGGTCAGATTGACTTTTTGTTCGCTTGACACGTAATTTATGACGCACGGGAGGATGCGTGGTGCATGCGTGCGTGCATCCCTCGCACGTGTCTGCAGGCATTGCTAATGTTTCTGAATTTGTCTCTCCTCCCACACCATATTGGCAGGTGTGTCCCGTCTGCCAAATTGGTGTATGTAAGACGCATTCAGCCAACTGTGTTATTGGTGCAGACATTTTTTTAATGAGCGCCATCTGTGCACATCCTGCTTCAAACCAAATACTCCCCTACCTGTGTGTCTATGTGAATAAGTGAGCGGGTTGGGGAAAGGAGGGGGACTTCAGTTGTGTGTGTCTGCGGCCCCTCTGCTTGATGTTAAGGTTTCTAATATTTTCTGTCTCGCCTGTGGCGTCTTGCAGGCTATCCAGGGGGGTATCCTGCTACAGCTCCTACCTACACCAACCTGTACCAAACAGGCAGTCCTGGGTATCCACCAGGTAAGCTCTACTCTCCTCCCCATACACAGAGAGCTCATATTTAACAAGGTAATATCTTGGGAGAAATTGTCAGTTTAGAGTAATTTTCAGAGTTAATTAGAGGGCTCTTTCTCTTTTTCTAAGAAGAATAAAGGATAATTGCACTACAAGGAACCATTGAAGATGCAAGACAAACACTGATGAATTCAGACAAATCATTATCATGCAGCTACAAGTATTAAGCTACTAGACTGTTTTCTTCTGCCTGCCTTTGCTGGATTGATTTATTTGCCTGGTTCTGCCAGAGGTTTCTTCATGTTAAAAGGGTTTTTTTTTTTCCTTCCCCCTATGAGCGAGCAGTTAGTGAGAAGTTTGATTGCTGGTTTTTACTCTGTATTATTCTAGGGTCTCACCTCATAATATAAAGCACCTCAAGGCGACTGTTATTGTGATTTGGTGCTATATAAATGAAAATGAATTGAATTGAATACAAGATTAGAATAGTTAAAACGTGAGAAACGATTTATATTAAGGCAAAGTAATGCAGATTGGAAAACAAATGCTTTTACAAATAATTTCTGTCATGCTTCCTTTGGCTCCCGAGTAAGTAACAGTAACATCGACCAGGCTCAAAATACAAGGCGGCCACATCACATCCACATGGTTGTGATTGTTTAAAAACACTAATGATTTTATCAACTTGGGAAAGTAAAGTAAAATACAAAATATGGAGAAAATATATGTAGTTTTAGTAGTTTAGTAAAAAAAAAATGGTATTCTAAGTTGCCCGATGAAGTACTGATGGGCATGTTTACTGAGACTCTGAATGTCTGCATGACTGTGTGTGCATTAAGTCAACACGACGGTCTCACAACAGTTTATTAAAAGCTTGTGACATTTCAATTGTTTTTGTTCCTGACCACAGTTTCCTCATATCTACATGTAAACAAAGTGAAAGATTTTTTTTTGTTTTGTTTTAAGAGAACTACATGACTACATTTTTGCCACTCATGCTATTTTTAATTCAGTTTTATTTATATAAAATCAATTCATCACAACAGCAGCCAAGAGGCGCTTTAACTTCCTTAATAAAACTGCTCTGTTAAGTTTAGCCAGTAAAAGCACTTCAGTCATTGTTTGGGTTAAACTACAACTGCTGCCACTTTTTTTTTTTTTTTTGGATGACTTGTTGGTTGTCAGGGTGATGCGTCCTCGCTGAAAGCCTCACGACAGCATACGAGCTGCAGGCTGCTCCAAGCGTAATTTCTACTGAAATACAAGAATTTAAGAGGAATGCTGACTTTAATGGAAAAAAAATGTGACAATTCATGTCTGTGTGAATAAAATAACATTTTAAAAAGTCTTTTCTCTCGTTTTACCACGAGACCAAGCTGGTTAGGAGTGGTTACGCCCACACGCAGAGTGAAGCAGCACAAAGGAGAAACACTAACATGACTTAAAATGACAGCAAGATTACAGGAGAGAACCTCACACTGAGGTGGAGTTAAATGGGTACATAAATTCGCAAGCCCTTTTTTCCTAGCATATGTGCTTTTTCATCCCTGCATTGGTGAATTTGAGTCCAGTGCTATTACTGTTCCTAGTTTGCTCATTGTGAATTCTGCCGTGATGCAGAAATGATCATTAAAAACTCAGAACCGAGTGTTTGTGAAATGCCTTGAAAAGCCTGAACAAACTGCGCCTCCAATTTATCTTAATAATTTTCAGAAATGTTTTCGTCTTCCTGATGAGTAATCGGCAACCGCGCAGTCTGGCAGCTGAGTAATGTGAGGGTGTGAAATGAAAGTTAGTGAGTGTTAAGGTTAAGGTTGTCTAGCACTTAATGTATTGAATAAATTACACACTGATGACATTTTAATTTAAAGAGGATCCATCACTTCTACTGCGGCTCTGCAGCGCTGCGTAGAGATGCAACGAGTTTGTCCGTTTATGATGCGTGTTTAACCTAAAGCAAATACAGTTTCCTACATATTTAATGGTTATCAGAGTCACGTGCGGTTACAATTAAGTTACGAACCAAACCGTGCTCATAAAAATTGACGGAGCATTACCATCACTCATGCAGTTACAATGTTGTTTAGAGCTCCACACAGACTCGAGTCGTTTAAAGGCAATATGAATTAAGTGGTGATCTCAGCCTAAAGGGGCATTAATGGCGAAGGAGTGGGAAGCTAGCCAGTAGCAGCTGCTAGTGCCCATATAGCAGCAAATGCATGCTCTGTTGGGGTTCATTGTGTGGTCCCCTCAGCAGATGGGACTACAGTTGTGCTTTCCAGAAATGTATGTATAGATGGTTTGGTGATTGCAGGTTTTCTTGTAGTCCAAGCGTAAGAAAAAAACATTTATTACATTGTTTGAAAGCATTAAATTCATCGTTCTGCTCATTTGGGATATTAATTTTTCAATCTTGTGCAGATTTGTGGTAATAAAGGTAATTATACAGTAATGCAATTTGATCTGAATGGGGGTAGGCGAGGAAGGAAGTCAACAAGGATTGCTCGACGTTGAGCAATTAAATAAAATGGGAACAAAAACAAGCAAACAGCACAGAAAAGATAAAAAAAAAAAACACAAAATAGTAGGAATGGTGAAATGAATGGGACTGATAATGAGCTCAGGGAAAAATAAATAAGTAAATGATTTGTAGTGTCAGCAAGATGTTTAATGGAGTCTTTAAACACATGCATTGTTACTGAATTCAGAGATAATGATAATGTGTTTTTATCACAGCAGTAAAGATGTGATATATAATCATGCAAGAATCTATTGATTGCTTTAAATTTTGATTAAAATACCTTTCAGAAAAAAAATGCTACTGGACGTATGGATTAAATTTAATTTCCTCAGCAGGGAGCGAAGATAGCGGCTGAAATTGTTTTCTATTGTCTTAAATATTGAGTGTGGTACTCGAGCAGAGAGGGTGGGGGTTGTACTTTTCATCTGTGCCGCTTTTGAAGCTTCCTCCCCTTGTTCCCTCCCTGAGTTTGTTTTCCGTCTTTTGGAAGTCTAACCAAATATCAGGTATGCTTTGGCAAAGCTCTGTCAGCTTTGTTCCAGCCGAAACCCGAGACTCATTATCAGGGTTGTTTTGGTTTGGGGGTTTTTTTTTGTTTTTGTTGTGTGTGTGTGCTTGACTGCAGATATCTTACCCTTTACTCCACAGTGGTTAATTTATGGGGAAATTAAAATGTTTAGATTTTGTATCAGTGACAACAATGAATCGGCCAGACATGCCAGCCTCCGTCTGATTAGAAAACGTGTCTTGGTCATTATTTCTCAAGACCGCTGAGGAGACAAAGTGTTTTCTATCAGCAGGGCTTTTGTGTGATTGTCACACACCATTGTCCTTTAATGCCCTGCATGCATGTTAGTGCAAAGAATGAATGTGAGAGCGTGTGTGTGTGTGTGTGTGTGTGTGTG